GCACTCTGTCCTTCTCCTCAGACTTGATGCCAGATTGTCAACACCAACAGGAATGAGTGTGCCTGATGATCGAGCCTTACACTGTAAGCTGCTCAGCTAATGTTTGCATTTGTAATAATTGCATTGTTTGCAAACTTAAAACCACTTCATGTGGATTTTTGTAACTCTGAATCTGCCTCTCGCAGGATGCTTCTGTCCTCCTGAAGCTGCATTTACGGCCAAGTCCGTGTATGTTGAGGCAGCTATAATGACTGAAATAAAATAAGCTGTGTTGTACCCCGAAGAATTATATTTGGTTAAACTGGTTATGGGTGGAGTTACACAGACCAAAACAAAGGCATTGATATTCTGATACGTAAAGCACATTTTCAAAGGAGAATTACATGATACCAAATATATTTTAGCCAAAGTCTGGTCCCACATTTTAAAACAATGAACCGACAACACCTTAAGATGCTTTAACCCAGTTTCTTTTTTAAACTGTGACAGAAAAAAGTCAGTGCAGTCTCATTTGCCCTCAAAGTGCTTAATCACATTCTTATAGTGGTTTAAAATAGTTTCTATGATTATAAACTGAAAACATCTGGGATGCACGGTGAACTTGAGCCCTTTTCAATGGTTTGCTTTCACTTTCAAGTTTTAGCAGTGTGAAAATTGACATCCTCAGGTTTGGTTTTTTGCACTTTTGAGTTTTAAATGTGATCAAACTGTGATGTCAAGTTTTCAATTATATTAATAAAATATGCCGTCAGTATGAGTAAACAAACATTTCCTCAGACCTTTCTCTTTAAACAACCTTTGCTGATCTTCAATTATGATTTAAATTTAATCCAATTTATCATTGTAATGTCACGACTAGATGAGTAAATGAGCCAGTTGTTTATCTGTTAAATGTTTATCTGTCAGAAAGGTTAACTAAATTTACCATCTCCAAAGTGTATTAAAGTAAAAAAAAAAAAAAAAAGTGGAAATTGTGACAAGGGGCTCAGTATCTAACCTAGTGCGCTGCATTTAAAGGGCCACAAACCAAGCAGTGAAAGAGGGAAGAGTTTGCATAAAAAGGGGAGTTTCATTACATGCACATGCTGATTTTCACAGCGACATCACAAACACAGACCACTGTAATCCACACATATGGATCTACATGCAAGCTGTTCTCTCATCGTAAAGAAATGGACCCAAAACCTTCCATGTGTCACAATTATAAACGCAACACTGACTAACAAAGTTTGCCAGGGCCGGGACTTGAACCTGTGACCTTTTAATCATAAGTCCTAACCATTAGGTAACAAGGACATTTTAATTTCTAAACTTACAGAACATTCTTCAAGTACGATGACCTCTTATATATCAAACATTTACCTTTATTAAAAGATAACTCCTTGTATTTATATCTGGAATTATTTCTTGTAATTAAATATTTAACTACACTAACTGTTACGAATTAAATTAAAAATCCTTAATCAAAAAGAGATTTAACCAAAACGTAACAAAATAACAGGGATTAAAAATATAATCCCTGGTGCCACCGCGCTTTCTCTCCCCAAAATATAAACCAAAAACACAACCACTGAGAATTAACAAGAAAATATGATGTATTTACAGAAATAAGGAGCAAAAATAACATCAGGAGGGGTTCAGTCAAAATAAGTGACAATAAACCAAGCGAAATTAATTAAATCAAACTTCCCTAGAAAACAAGTAATAAAATAAAATACAGAAAACTTACCTCCCTACTAACAAACACAGGAGAAAACGAAAATAACAAATAAAAGGCACCAAACCTCCCTACCATGCTCCAAGCCCGACAGGAAGACAGAAAAACCGGGCTTCAATCTCCGGTTAAAAATTAACATCACTACAGCATCTCACAAAAACGGCACAAAGAAATACAAGCAAACACTCATTGGATCACTTTCTCCACTGAGTACAGGCAGGGAAATCGAGAGAGAACGGGGAGCCATCGAAGCCATCTTCTCTGCAAGTTTATATACAGCCGCCGCCAGTCCAAGCGCCAATCATGATCCGTCCCAACGTAATCCGCTACACCTGCGAATACTTATAGAGCGAGAAAGAGAGAGAGAGCGAGAGAAAGAGAGAGAAACACCACACACACACAAGCCTACACTACACTACACTACAACTACTCGTAACACTAACCATCACCTACCCCTTGATAAACCCCTAAACCAGGGGTCATCAAACTTGTTCCTCGAGGGCCGGTGCCCTGCAGATTTTAGCTTCAACCCTAATCAAACACACCTGAACATGCTAATCAAGCTCTTACAAGGTATACTTGAAACACCCAGGCAGGTGTGTTGAGGCAAGTTGGAGCTAAACCCTGCAGGGTCACCGGCCCTCCACGACCAGGATTGGTGACCCCTGCCCTAAACCAAACCACTAAAGCCTGTGCCTGACCTTAACCTACCCCTAACTGCGCGATTTTCAAAATAGTTGTGTCACAGATGTTTCACACTGCATGACTATCAGGGCTAGAATTCTGTCGTTGCTTTGTTTACACTGCAAGATGGATCGGCAACAGGGAGTTTGACACCGCATGACTTTACAATCGGAAAAAAAAAATCGCAAACAAATATGCCTCGGTCTGCAAACTAGGTCTCTCACAAACAAACACATGCAAGAAGTTACATGGAAACAATGTGAGGTGACATAGTACTGTATATCTTTCGTTATTTAATACATAGTGAGAAAGAAACCTATAGTGGGGTAGAAAATTTACTTATTTTGCTCACCTGGCCTTTGAAGGGAATTAGCAATTTCTCCTTGACTTTTTTTCTGTTTTGACCTGGTTGTGTTATTGCTTAGATGACATGTCAAACAGACATGGGTGCTCCTGCCAAATTTTCAGTAGTTTTACTATGTTTCTTGGGTCCAAATAGACTGAAAACTTCTCCCCATCCGCTGGTCTGCAGATACTTATACTAGTGGATGTTGCTCTCTCATTGGCTGTAGGTGATCGCCGATGTAATTTTCAATCAGAACACATTTCACACAGCATGATTTTAAACGCCTACATCTCCAGATATTTAGCATGACAAATATCCTATTGGCGTCTGAGATAGTTTACACAATGTAATTGTTACGTAAACTTCTCAAAACATGTCAGCAATTCAAAATCGAGCTAAAGTTAGGGCTGTGCAATTAATCAAAAATTCGGTTTCAATTTCGATTTTCGTAAGAGAAACCATATCTGAATCGCACTGCTCTTAAAGTTACAGCATGCAATATTCCTGCTGCCGACAGTTTTTCATATTGATCAAACAACAAAAGGACTAAATCACTCGCTGTTCTTGACTGAAGGACTTTTTCTAGCTATAATGAAAGTTTTTTTTTTTACAGTGAAGATGCTGAAATCACAGTTTGTTTCATATTTTTATTCTATTATATATATTTCCCTTACCTTTTTTACAGGGAGGAAAATAGTTGTGTGTGTGTGTGTATATATATATATATATATATATATATATATATATATATATATATATATATATATATATATATATATACAGTTATATATATATACAGTTGAAGTCAGAATTATTAACCCTCCTGAATTATTAGCAACCTTTTCCCTCATTTTCTGTTAAATGCAAAGATTTTTTTCAAAACATTTCTAAACATAATAGTTTTAATAACTCTTTTCTGATAACTGATTTCTTTTATATTTGATAAAATGACAGTACATAATATTTTACTAGATGTTTTTCAATATACAAGGTTTCAGATTAAAGTGCGATTGAAAGGCTTAATTAGTGTAATTAGGCAAGTATAGCACTAATCTTAACCAAGGTAACCAATATAAAATCAATTAACCTAACCATTAGCAACCCTTAAACCCTACTCATTCATAAACTTGTTCCTTAACCTTAACCAACTTGTCAATTATTCATGGTCTTAACCCACTTGCAAACCCACCCATACAACGCAAACTGTTTCCACTCCTAAACCTAACCAGACCACAAAACTGGACCCTCAGCAACCCTTACCAACATTTATATCCTCACCACAAAACCTGTCCTCAGCCTTAATCAACCCTTAAACAGCTATACAACTAAACTTGTTTTTAACATTCACTAACTCTTAAACTGATTCCACAACACTTATACACCCATACAATTAAAAAACCTTTTTCGATCCTTAAATTTAACAAAACCAGCAAACCTATTTCCAACCTCAATCAACTTGTACCACTGAACCTGTCCATAACTTATATCCCTCCTACATAACAACACAATCCACTCAAATTGATAGCTGAGCCATTTTTTTCTTTTAGTTAAAGAAAAAAAACACCATTCACGTTCATCATATTTTTTTTTTCCTGTTATGGATGTTAATGGCTACTTTATTACAGCCTGCTTCAGAATATCTTGTTTTTTGTTTAACAAAAGAGGATATTACTAAAAGTTTAGAACCACTTGAGTGTAAGGTAATGGTGAGAAATTTTCCTTTTTGGATGAGCTTCTCCTTTAATCTAGTTTGACGCAAGTGCCTGGTAGTTAAATACCCCTAATATAAAGTGGGCTCACAATTATACATTACATACTGCATAAATAAAAGCACTTACATCAAATAAATGCTTTCCATATAGAACAGAAGCTGTACTTGTAACATTGTATGTCATACTGTTCAGCTTTAAATATACACTGAAGTGTTTTAGAATATTGGGCAGGCATTAATATACTTATGTAGATGATTAAGGTCTCTTTACATTTCACCATGTTTCTTGTATCCCTTCATTGCAAATGTCTGGCTATAAAGGTCAGTCCAAATGACTGTTTTGTTTTGGTTCAATTATCTTATTTTTCATTAAATCTGTCTTAGACTCTTACTGTAGCTATATTATGTTTTATAATGATGGATGAGAGTGTTTTGAACACTCTAAGCTATGTTTACAGAACAAGTCATGGGCTATTTGTTATGCTTTTATAATCCTCCAATATATCAAATGTTCTTGATTCTCCCTGTGTCTTGTCCTGCAGGGTTCAGCCGATTCGTACACGAGCAGACCTTCGGATTCCGACCTGTCAGCGGAGGAGGACCGCGAGGCGTATCGGCGTGAAGCCGAACGCCAGGCCCAGCTGCAGCTCGAGAGAGCCAAGGTTACTGCAGCTCTCCTTTCATGTGCTTTTTCTGTTTTGCATGGTGGAAATAAACAAAGTATCATTGCGAGAGTAACTTCAGAATTTTAAGTGGTTAATGTCCTGACTCCAGTATTTTGTATGATGTATGAAGGTGCTAATGTTAATTTACACCTTGGCTTACTCACCAATTCACACTAAAGGCCCTGGTATACTTCAAATTCAATTCTTTTTCGTTTGAGGGCAAAAAGAAGTTTAAAAAGGCTGAATGAGGGTATACAGTAGGGGTTCTCAGTCTCGCTCCTTAAGTTCTGGTGTCCTGCAGATTTTAGTTCCAACCCCAATCAGACACACCTGGTCTAGATAATCAAGCTCTTACTAGGCTCTTACAGGCCTCCAGGATTGACTTTGAGAACCCATTGTATATAGTGTTCAAATCTTCCAACACCCCTGCGCTGCAGTAGGTGGGGTTGTAAAGGTGTCGCTCTGATTGCATATACACCTAAACACAACGATGATGATGGCTTTGAGAGAAGAACAGTTTCTTGATCATGTGTTAGCTTCATCTAGCCTGTCGCACAAGAAGTGCCACCACGTTGCACCACATTTTTTTAATTAATCGCTCTTTTTTTGTAATTAATCATGATTAATGGTGAAAAGCCATATTTATACAGAAATAAAAACATAGGCATTTAAGTGCCATTGGAATTTCAAAACAATCAATCAATGCTATTAACAAACAGAAATGATTTCCATGTTGGATTCAAAGTAATCTACAAAAATAAAAACTAATAAAAACAGGCATTGCAAATATGGAAAATGGAAAGGTAAATAATAATAAAGTATTAAATGCAAACAATTGTAGTTATTGTAAACTTGTATTGAGAGTTGAGAACATTAATAATAAAGTAGAAGCAATTTTGCTTAGTACTCTCTAACATTTCGCCAGTTGCTAAAACAGTCCAGTCTATGGACATTATCGGGGGACAATGTGGCCAAGGGGTACATCAAACGCACATACCAATGACTATAGACTTCTTACAGGGACTTTGGTCACACCATCTCTAAACATTTAATTCTAAACAGCTTTGAGAGATACGAATATAGCAAAGACTATAGAATACATATAGAATGCTTTAAAGAGACTTTGGACACCTTCAGCGATGTCAGGCGTTTGCTCTTGTTGCTAGGAAACACACACACACACACACAATGCGCACAGTTTAGATTCATCAACACGCACAATCGCGTTCATCAAATTTGCTTAAACTAATCGTTCTAAAGTCTGGCTGTATTTTACAAGCAAGGATTCTTACACAGCAGTGTAAAGCAGACGCTTTACAAAAGTTGTATGTACGGGTAAACACGTCAAACTTAATGAAACATTTGAGAGCGCGTGTAATCAACTTAAAGGCAGAGGAATGGGCTGTCTCTGACAGCTTGCGACATCATCTAACACTTTCAATGAGTACATTTACATGGAAACCAATACTCTGGTTTTATGAAGATAATACTAAGAGTCAACCATGTAAGCAGATAACCTTTAAGGACAACCTGAGTCACGAAATGCTGAGGTTTTTCTTTCCGTTTGTCAAGCGGTATTAAATTCCATTAAAACAACACCCTTCCAGCAGACCTTACTTCATATTTTCATCCAATTATTTTCATGGGGCATGAACAATATGTTGCTGAATGAAAGTGAACTGCTGAACTGTAGTTAAATTCTAAACATAAAAAATGAAACATCCAAAATTGCATGAAACTCTGGAGCTGGACTGCCTGGTGATGCTGGTGAAACTTTCCTTCTGAAAAGAACTTCCTTGGTCTTATCCATATTTCTTTGCACGTTGAACACACACCGGCCACAACAGGAAATAAAAAACTGCAACCGCATTAATTGCTTGAATTATTTTAACGCGTTAAATATTTCAAATTAATCTCATGCATTAACGCGCTAATTTTGACAGCTCTAATATATATATATAACAATTGAAGTCAGAATTATTACCCCCCCCCCCCAAATTATTGGCCCCCCTATTTATTTTTCCCCAATTTCTGTTTAATGGGGAGAAGATTGTTTTCAGCACATTTCTAAACATAATAGTTTTAATAACTCATTTGTAATAACTGATTTATTTTATCTTTGCCATGATGACAGTAAATAATATTTTACTAGATATTTTTCAAGACACTTCTATACCACTTAAAGTGACTTTTAAAGGCTTAACTAGGGTAATTAGGTTAACTGGGCAGGTTAGGGTAATTAGGCAAGTTATTGTAACAATGGTTTGTTCTGTGGACTACATCGAAAAAAATTACAGCTTAAAGGGGCTAATAATATTGTCCTTTAAATGGGTTTTAAAAAAATGTAAAAATTAATTTATTCTAGCCGAAATAAAACAAATAAGATTTTCACCAGAAGAAAAAATATTATCAGAAATACCGTGAAAATTTCCTTGCTCTGTTAAACATAGTTTGGGAAATATTTCAAAAAGAAATTCAAAGGGGGGCTAGTCATTCTGACTTCAACTGTATATATAGTCACTATTTTAACACAGCTATAGTTATGCCAATGTGTGTATTTTTAAAACATCTATAATAGATGCTATCGGGTAAATGCCGGCAAAGTAGAACACGGAAGCAGCTCGAAGCGGAAAGCCAGAGTATGTTTGCAGTCTGGAGGTTTTATTAAGTGGATGACGACAACATTTCCATAACCATGGGATATGTAAACTTGGGATTGACTGCCGGGTATTTTAAGTTAAGGTGCTGTTTGCTTTTATTTTAGATTTTTCATTATATTACCTGTTGCAGTACAGTCCAAAAGTGAATATTTTATGTTATTTATTACTTGACTGTTTAAAATACCTTCCAGAAGTGCTCTGTTTGTTAACAAAGTTATTGAATGTTAAAATAAGCTGAATTAAATAAAAAATAAGGACATCCTGGTTCTGTTTCTTTACTCTTTTTTTATTCTTTTTTTATACATTATAGAAGTATCAGATCAGGTTTTTCTTTCGGCAGATACTCAAAATCAAATGACTTGGACTCCAGGGCAAAAAAAAACCTGATTAGGACATCACTAATAATAATTGCCCCCTTAAGACATTTTAAGACTAATAAAGGTCTTTCTTTTTTTACTCTGGGATTTAACACTTTCTCTGCTACTTGACCCTTCTGATTGTTCATGTTGCTAACTTGATGTTGTTATTTTGGATGCTGACTCGTTCCCTTGTCTGACCTCTGTGGAATGAGAAACGATTCAATCGCACAGCAAAGAAGACGGAGTTCCAGAGAACACATACTGTATGTGTGCTCGTCATGGACCAATGCTAGCTCAATGGTGTTCAAGAGCCAAAGCAAAATTTTGGGGAAGCTGTTTTGAACTCCTGAAACAAACCTAAAGTCAGCTTTCTTTTGGTTGAATTTTGTTCGATTTCAGTTAGTTCTTCAGTTTAGCTTGAAGTATACCTGGGCCTTTAAGTTGCCCTTCCTCCAAGGTGTAAAATAACTCTAAAGCAAATATACTGTAAACAACACACATTTGGTTGTCTCAACTTGCAGCTTCTGCAGAGCTGTTTTAATTGTGATGACATCACAAATGTTGATTGGCTGAGACAGATTTTAACCAAGGTACATCATACAAATGGCTTTGGTCATGTGTTGGGACAGGGGACTATCTTTTTTGTGGAGCAAATTTGTAAGGTTAAAGATTGAGTGATTATATTACAGTTTAAAAAAAAATGTGTGAATCACTGAAGTTGTGGAGTTTTGTCTGGCAGTCCAAACCTGTAGCATTCGCAGTGAAGACGAATGTGAATTATTGCGGGGCTCTAGATGAGGAATGTCCTGTTCAGGGTGCTGCCATAAACTTTGAAGCCAAAGACTTTCTGCACATTAAAGAGGTGAGCTGGAGTTGTGGTTCAATGCATGCACGAAAGCTTTGCAGGTCAGTTTTCTTAATAGCACAATCATAATAGCACTGAGGATGTTTTTGTATGTGTTTGTGCTGCAGAAGTACAATAATGACTGGTGGATTGGAAGGCTGGTGAAAGAGGGGGCAGACATCAGCTTCATTCCCAGCCCCCTCCGACTGGAGGCCATGAGAATCAAACAGGAGCAGAAACAGCAGAGGTCTCTCTCTCTCTCACGCATCTCTCTCTCTCTCTCTCTCTCTCTCTCTCACTCTCTCTCTCGCTCTCTCTCTCTCTCTCTCTCTCTCTCATTTCTCTCACTCACTCTCTCTGCTGAGATTGCACAAAACTACCTCATTTTTCAGAAGATGTATCAGTGTTGGAGTGTATTCACTTGGGTAGAAATATTAAATTCAAATGCATTGCATATACATTTATTGTACATTTACAATAAAGCATTTCACATTTTTTTCTGTACTCAGAAGCAAAAACACCATAGTAAACATCACAATAAAACAACAACAACAAAAGCATTTATATAATATTTAAACATATGTTGGACAAAAGACAGAAAGATTACAGTTTTTCTCGATTGCTTTGATGCAGTTGTCAACTGAAACTCCACATTTTCAAAACAGTTAACACACAGGATTGAAAAAATGACACATTTTGCTTGCAAAAGGCACATATTGTGTCAAAACATTTAAAACATGAAACAAAAGCTAGTTTTACCTTCAAACAACAAAACTTGCAAACAAGTATATGAGCTCTTTCAATTAATCATTACACAATGGACAACAAAATACAGAACTCAGTGCACCACCATTGCTTGCCATTGTAGCTTATTGCAAATGGCATTTGTTGTCTTTCTATTTGGGCTGTCAAATTTGCCTTTTTGCAAAGAATTGGATCCAGAATAAGATATGCTTTGATTAAATATATATTGAATTCATGATATTTTTCAAACTGTGGCTGAAAACCGAAATACTGTATAAAAAACAGACAAAAGGAATAAAATACTGTAAATATTAGAGAAAACACATGTAAACTAATATAGTCAAATTTATCGGGAGTATAGGACATAGCCATATTGACCTCCTCCATCAATGCTGGCACAGAAAAACACAGACCTTCCATCGTTTTTATAAGGTTTGCAGACTGATTGCTAATTGAAGATTTGTGTGAAGGAGTGTCAAACCGGTGCTTCAGTGATTTCATACTGATGTTGGTAGTTTTTAATAGTTAGGAATAGATGATTTCTGTTTGGTTGCCATAACTAAAACAATGGAGTTTGGACTGCTTGAATGACATCTGTGTTAACTGTTTTGAAAAATGGTGGGGAAAATGTGTCAACCCAATGAGAAAGGATTTACACATTTGCAAGACCGGTCCTCTGCTCTGCTGGGATAGTGAAAATGAAAATAAAGAGGAACCTAGTTTCTTTAACCAGGTCAAAGCAAACAAGAAAAACTGTAAAAGATGTAGTATTATTCAGTTTTCTTTAAGTAATGTCAAGACACTAAAAAGTCGAAAAAAAAAAAATGTTTTATTAATGTACTAAATTCTACATCCCTGTTTAACTTTTTTTAAAAGGGATTTAGGGAAGCCTCTTAGTATTGGATTTTTCTTTGAATCAGCAAACATTTTGGCATTGGTTTTATATGGAAAATGATCCACTATAATCCTCATTATGCTTTGCCTGATAAGATATCATACTGATTATAAACCTGCAATTGTAAAAATCTGCTGAAGGAGTGCTAGCTATATGATTGCATGACTTCTGCCTGTAAGATAGCTTTAGCTTATGATGAATAAAAATCACAAACACTTCTAAAATGTTTAAATTGTTCAAAAATGAACCTATGTGAATATAAAACTAACTCTCGTGTGCACGTGAACGCACATGGGCGCACAAACCGCAGATCTGTCTGCGTGAACATGAGTGCGCAGATGTACAAATCTACAGTTGTTGACAGACAGTTTGGGCTACTTATCAGAATTATGGGAATTATCGGCCTGACAATTTTTAAGTGGATGAACATTTTTAAGTCTTATGCCTTACCCAGAATATAAAAATATTATAGGTAGGCATAGATATTTTTTTAATCTAGATAAATCTCACTGTAATCAAAATTAAATCTAGATGAATCTAGAGACCTAGAGAAGCTTCTTTTTGTTAGTTTTTTATTGGGTTAGTTTTACAACAGGTTCATGCATGTTTGAAACTTCAAAAAAGGGAAACTATCCAACAACATCATACATCATGAAAGAGCCAGGATAAAATTTAAAACTACTCCAACTTTGATCATCTGACATAAATAATATTATTGTAAAATGAGTAAAACATTTGTTTAAATGTTTCTAAAGTACCTCTACAAGTGACGTTTTACAAACAAATTTCATGAGGAGCATGCATAGACGTTTTGACAAAACTAATTGATCATTGACATTCAATTGAGTTGATAATTCTATAGAGTGGAGGAACTATGACGTCATCTTGTATTCTAATCGGCAGCTAGCATAAAACTGGTTCCCTCGATAAAATGCCTATAGGATTTTCCCACAGGCTTTTTAAAGAATAAAGTTAAGCTCTGTAGAGCATAATAATAAGCTCTGTGTTCAAACACTGTTCATTACTCTTACACGATTTGTCCAAATGTATAATCCACACACGAAAATAAAACTTTTAGCACTTTTGGATCTTGGAGTGCTTTCACACCTAGACATTTGTTTCGGGACCTGTCTCGTTTGCCCAGTTAGCGCGCTTTGTCTGGCATATGTGAAACCACCAATCGCGCTCGGATCCGCGCCAAAACAATCGCTTCAAGATCGCTTAAATGAGGTGGTCTCGGCTCGATTGAAACGAACTCTGGAGCATATCGATTGCATAGAAAGAGCGATACGATCCAAGCCCGGTTATATCACAGTGTATTATGAATATATGTAATAGGCATACGGCTATATGTAGAGAGAATTATGAGGAGGGCGGGAGGTCATTCCAAACATCCCAAGTCTCCCCGAAAGTTTCGTTAGTCTCCCGCAAATGCACAGAGACTCCAAGGTGCCCGCAAACAAGTGATAATTTCCCAGAAATCGCTCGTCTCCCTCCCGGTCCTCAAATACGTCGCGCACCCTTCTCAACCCGCCCCATTGCATCCCTCCTCGCTCTTCAGACACGCCGCGCGCACCCTGTCAAACACCACCAAACCACTACCACCCTCCTGCCAGCTGAGCGGGACTCTGAAAAATGAACAGTGAAACTGACAAATGCAAGGAGAGTTTACTCGCACGTGACTTTTTTTTAGCTCTTTTGGTCCGTTTAGAAACTTTGCCGTGTAAAAGCGAACCGCACCAAGAACAAAGAACAACATTGTAACAATTTTAATCACTGTTTCGGAACAACTGAATCGATTCACAGGTGTGAAAGCATCTGTATATGCAAACGCATAAACTGAAAATCTAACATTAGGCTATAAACGGATACATAGCCTTTGGGGCGTTTGCCTGTGACGTCAGCACCACTCTGCTACAGACAACTTTTCAAGCTTATTTTTAGAAATATGGTCCATGACAAAGATTTACTCTCTCGATTTATTATATTATAATTCACATTATATATTATAAACAAATAAATACACAAAAACACATCTGTATAGACTGACATGCCTTTTGGATAGCTTTTTTTGTGGGAAATACATTTTTGTTTTGCTTTATAGTTGTTGTAAAAGTTTTGAAACTCTATGTATAAATGTGCCTACATAGTATTATCATAAGAAATATTTAAACAAATGTATCGCTTGCATACACAAAGCTCGCTTACCTCAGTAATAGATGATAGAAAAGAGGAGTGAAGGACAAGTCTATATGACTGCAAGTTCCATCATGGACACAGAACAACATTAAATATTCTTTTTTTTTGTCACAAAAACAAGCCGACTATATCACATATGAGGAAAGAGACAGGCTGCACTGGTAAGCAGTATCTTCATAATATTGTTTAATTAAAATAAATGATCAGCAAATTAATCTATCTTGATGGTACAAGTGAAGGCATTATCCACACATAATGTGAATTCCCAATTAGAAAAATACTAGAAACTATAAAATAGGGTTGTCGCGATACCATTAATTCATCTTACGATACTATACCAGTTTAAGTATCGCAATACTGTAATTAATTCAGTATCAGTAACTCAAATTTTGAAGAAAATTGTCAGAAATACTATATTTTACATGTTATAATTGATCTTGAATTTAATTTATAATACCTTTTTATTGAAAAAAGTATTATTTGCACATCGCTTCATCTAAAATTTGTTCATTCTTTTTGTGTATTTTGTAGATAACTAACCAACAAAATATGCATTAAAATAAAGATTAAACAAATTATACCAAATTAAATTAGTTACAAAAATAGCAATAGCAAAATAAAAAACTAATTAGGCTATATGAAGTGGTCAAATTTGTTTTCAATGTTTCCTGTTGCTATTTTGAGTTGTTCATCTACTGAGTTGTTTTTTTTTTTTTAGTCTTATCAGGCAACAATTTAAAGTAATTCAGAATTTTACTTTATGAGTCGTTCTTATTGAGAGACTGTCTCTTAATTTTAATTGTATCTTCTTTTAAAATAAAATGGTCAAACGTGTGAGTGTTTTAGTGACTTTTCAACACCTAACATTATGGGCTCTATTTTGACGGTTTTGAGCGCAAAATGCAGGACGCAAACACTTTCAGGGCGTGTCAGAATGCATTTTTACTATTATAAGGATGGAAAAATCTGCTTTGCGCCGTGGCGCATGGTCTAAAAGGGTTGAGTTTATTTTCTTAATGAGTTATAGGTGTGTTTTGAGAATAAACCAATCAGAGTCTCATCTCCCATTCCCTTTAAGAGTCAGTTGCGTCACGCCATAAGCGCATTTGCTATTTACATGACGTAAAGTAAGTGTGAGTGGAAAAACTGATCATTTCTCTTGCAAGAAAACAGTTAAACAGAGCATCTACAGCGCGAGAATGAGAGATAAATGATCTACTTTCACTTTCGCTCTTGTGGATAGGGAAACCTTTACGCACAGACATCAATTACCCTATAAATAATTAATTTCGTTTGTTAAGTGCAAATATTTGTTTAAAAACTATTTCTAAATTCAGTTCTAATATCCAGCAAACAAATAAATGAACAATAATAACGAAGTGTGATCAAAAACCCGAGTTATATTCTAAAACACATGATGTGCCCCGTATAGTCTAAAACCTGTAGGTGGGCAAATCTAAGCTTGTTTTTAATAAAACAAATATAAATATGGAAATAATAAATAATACTGCTAATAATAATAACATTAAACAAAAGCAAATCGTTATAAATGAACTGAAATGTCCCCCAAGATGAAGAAGGCATAAAAGCAGTGGTTTTTCATATTTATGTAGGCTAGAAAATAATATGTTTTGTAATATTTTTAATCCTTTATATTTATATCCTATATATATTCTTATTATATCCTATATCCTTAATATTTTTTTTTTTTTCATATGTAAAGATATTTGCGTATTGCTCTACATCTTGTGTGTATTAAGCAGTGTGTAAGCGAGGCGCAACTTTAAACCGGGTTTGTTTTGGTCAATTGAAAAATCTATTTTAGTTTCTTAAAATAGCAACGCGCCAGCAATGCACCTCAGAATGCCTTCCTTTTTAGACTAGAACGCCTATGGGCGCACATATGAGCGCAAATGCATTTGCTATTTAAACAGCATGGCGCAACGCCTCAAAACCACTCTTGCGCCAAGCTGAAACTAGCAAAAAACTATTGCGTCGCAACATGCGCCACATTGCGCCGGGTGTATGATAGGGCCCTAAATATTGTAGATAGACCATTAATGACGATACTACCGTTTGCAAACTACAGAGGCACTGCCAGTGTTTTGGAGCCATAGTATCGTGATACTACCATAGTATCGGTAAACCGCACAACCCTACTATAAAATACCATTTATGAAAATACTGAAATAACAGACAAATCCAAATGTGCAACACAAGTGGGCTACGATCCAGACCAGATCAGCTCGATGACGTATGTTGTCTCCGACATTGCCTGTAGTCCCATTTTTTTAATGTTGTAACAGATGTGTTTTATGTCGTAGAATAAAACGTGAAAGTATCTTTTTGTTAGCCACAGACCTTATTTGAGCGATTTAACCAAAATCCTATTCAAAAAACCCATTGACTTTGAGACAAGGGAACTGCTAAAATGCTAACTCTCTTCTGGTTTTTTGCATACAAATAGACGTCATAGTTTCTCCAATTTATTCTCCACTCAGAATAAGACCAAACCCATATACTTAACTAAACTGTCCTACCTCAATTATTTCACAATTTTATCATCCATCCACCACCCCAATTTCAATTTCAATCGGAGCAGGCACAAAAAGCCCACAAAATATGCGTTTTTCTCTTTTTGTCAAATATCTGAAACATATCTGCCAACATTTGTCTCAGAATATCTGGGAAACCGTGGGGGGAGTGGTGTTCGGGGGTAAGGTCTCTAAATAACTGGTGAGAACTGGGATGGGAAAGTAACTGTACTGTGTGTTAGTAACTGTATGTACCGGGATTTGGGTGGCTACTGTGATCAAATACTCTACCAAAGTTGGCAACCCGGGGGTTTTGAAGGAGAAATAACAATGCTGCTATGCTATGCTGATGATACCCAGCTATACCTCTCTTTTCATCCTGATGATCCCTCGGTTCCAGCTCGCATCTCAGCCTGCCTGTTGGATATTTCACACTGGATGAAGATCATCATCTTCAGCTGAACCTCGCAAAAACGGAAATGCTTGTAGTTTCTGCCAACTCGACTCTACACCATAACTTTTCAATCCAGATGGATGGGGCAACCATTACTGCATCCAAAATGGTGAAAAGCCTTGGAGTAACAATTGATGACCAACTAAACTTCTCTGACCACATTTCTAGAACTGCTCGATCATGCAGATTCGCACTCTATAACATCAGAAAGATCCGACCCTTCTTATCTGAACATGCAGCTCAACTCCTTGTTCAAGCTCTTGTTCTCTCCAAACTGGATTACTGCAACTCTCTACTAGCTGGGCTTCCAGCTAACTCTATCAAGCCTCTTCAACTGCTCCAGAATGCAGCAGCACGAGTGGTCTTCAATGAACCTAAACGAGCACATGTCACTCCGCTGCTAGTCCGTTTGCACTGGCTGCCAGTTGCTGCTCGCATCAAATTCAAAGCTCTGATGTTTGCCTACAAAGTGACTTCTGGCCTTGCTCCTTCTTATCTGCTTTCACTTCTGCAGATCTATGTGCCCTCCAGAAACTTGCGTTCTGTGAATGAACGTCGCCTCGTGGTTCCATCCCAAAGAGGGAAGAAATCACTTTCGCGAACGCTCACGCTCAATCTGCCCAGTTGGTGGAATGAACTCCCTAACTGCATCAGAACAGCAGAGTCACTCGCTACTTTCAAGAAACGACTAAAAACTCAACTATTTAGTCTCCACTTCACTTCCTAATCTGCAATTGCCTCTCTGAATATCACACTAACTGTACCCAAAAAAAAAATACTAATACTACTAATACTTCCCTTCTTAGACTTTACAGACCTGAAACTTGCCTATAGCACTTATTCATTGTTGCTCTTAGTTGTGTAAATTGCTTCCTTGTCCTCATTTGTAAGTCGCTTTGGATAAAAGCGTCTGCTAAATGACTAAATGTAAATGTAAACAAAACGGAAGGGTTGCTGGAGATTGGTCTGAAATACGGGAGACTACTTAAAAAACGGTAGTGTTGGCAGGTATGATCTGAAAGGGTAAACTCATTAAAGAATAATCTTTATTAACAAGAGTAAAAGAGATGGTTCACTTTAAAACATTTTTAATTCGGTCATCAATTACTCAGCCTCTTGTTGTTAATAATATGAAATTCAATGATGACTCTGATAACATTCAGAGCACTTACCATGCAGTGTCATTCACGCAGTGACTGATGTTTTTCTTCTCTTCAGGAAAAGCGGTAACTCATCCTCAAGCCTGGGTGACATGGTTTCAGGGGGTTGGAGATCCACACCGCCATCTGCAGGTGAGAGTGAGTATGACAGGGCCTCTGCAGGGGATGTGTGTGGCTGGAAATGCTGCCTCAAATGAGCACAATATCAGTAGGGCTGAACTGAAGATCAGTGAGTTTGTTCTTCCCTTGCTTTTCTTTCTCATTCGTTCCTCCTCTTTTTTTAGTATAATGCATGCTCTGTCACAGGCAAATACATTAGGCTAATGCTTGTAAAAGTTCAGACTACAGTCAAAATATGAGGAATCCTTCTGCAATTTTCTGAATGCTGATTCTGATGTGTTCTCTTATTTTCTAAAGCCAAACAGAAGCTAAAGCAGGTAGGTGTGATGATATGGCTCTTGTGTTCGATGTATTAAAATAATCTTTCTTTGCAGTTTGTCAGAGAGGATTTAATTTTCTAGAGCAAATGATTATAAAAAGAGACTCTTTTGGCATATCTGTCCTAAATATTAACTTACCCGCCACTTTATTAGGTACACCTTACTAGTACCGGGTTGGACCCCGTTTTTCTTTCAGAACTGTCTTAATCCTTCATGGCATAGATTCACCAAGGTACTGGAAATATTCCTCAGAGATTTTGGTCCATATTAACATGATAGCATCACACAGTTGCTACAGATTTGTCAGCTGCACATCCGTTTGGCTAATCTCCTGTTCCACCACATTCCAAAGGTGTCTATTGGATTGAGTTCTGGTGACTGTGGAGGCCATTTGAGTACAGTAAACTCATTGTCCTGTTCAATAAACCAGTCTGAGATTCACGCTTTATGACATGGCGTGTTATCCTGCTGAAAGTAGCCATTAGAAGATGGGTACACTGTGGTCAAAAAGTAATGGACATAGTCAGCAACAATACTCAGGTAGGCTGTGGTACTAATGAGCCCAACTGTGCCAAGAAAATATCCCCCTCACCATTACACCACCACCAGCAGCCTGTACCCTTGATACAAGGCGTGATGGATCCGGTTGCATCGAGTGGTTATTTGAGTTACTGTTGCCTTTCTATCAGCTGGAACCAATCTGGCCATTCTCTTCTGACCTCTGGCACCAACAAGGCATTTGTACCTACAGAACTGCCGCTCACTGGATATTTTCTCTTTTTCAGACTATTCTTTGTAAGCCCTAGAGATGGTTGTGCGTGAAAATCCCAGTAGATCAGCAGTTTCTGAAATACTCGGATCAGCCCATCAGGCATCATGAACCATGCTGATGCTCGGATTGAACTGCAGCAGATCGTCTTGATCTTGTCTACATGCCTAAATGCATTGAGTTGCTGCTATGTGATTGGCTGATTAGATTTTGTGTTAACAAGCAGTTGGACAGGTTTACCTAATAAAGTCGTTGGTGAGTATATACAGTTGAAGTCAGAATTATTAGCCCCTGAATTATTAGCCACCCTCTTTATTTTTTTAACACATTTCTGAATATAACAGTTTTAATAGCTTTAATAATTGATTTATTTAAAACTTTATTTATATTTAAAACTGATTTATTTTATCTTTGCCATGATGACAGTAAATAAAATTAGACTAAATCTTTTTCAAGACACTTCTATACAGCTTAAAGTGACATGTAAAGGTTTAACTAGGTAAATTAGGTTAACTAGGCAGGTTAGGGTAATTAGGCAAGTTATTGTATATTGATGGTTTGTTCTGTAGACGAAAATATTGGGGCTAATAATTTTACCTTAAAATGGTTTTTAAAAAATTAAAAACTGCATTTATTCTAGCTGAAATAAAACAAATAAGGCTTTCTCCAGAAGAAAAAAATATTATCTAACATACTGTGAAACTTACTTTGCTCTGTTAAACATCATTTGGGAAATACTTCAAAAAGAAAAACAAATCCAAAAGGGGGCTAATAATCCTGACTTCAGCTATATATTTGGGTTGATGAGTTGATAAGACTTTATGAAATCATTCTAATTTGTTGATTTGGTGCTAATAAATTATTTCTATGAATGTATTTATGCAAAGAGATATTTAATTATTATCATATCAAATAATAACATTTAATTACTTAATGCATCATTGCTGAATAAAAGCTTTCTGAACACACAAAACTTTTAAATGGTAGTGGATGCTAAAATTGTGAAAAAAAAGTCTTTGATACCTCTCATAGAATATTATACACAAATATCTACAATACCAAAATAATTGATAACATTTCCATATTTTTTTTCAGTTTTGAGGGAGCATTTTCAATAAACTGAAAAGTTTATGCAAATTTGGGTGCTTTTCAAAATAAAATGTTTGATATTTTTGAAAACAACACATTATTGTCATACATTTTGTGAAAATTGTATCAGAATTTTGTAAATGCACCATGAGGTATTTCCTTCTCTTGAAAATTTAGAGATCCAAACCTAAAGTTGCAAGAAAAGAAGTTACATTTTGAAAGGATATTTTGAGTCATCTCTGTGGCAGCCTTGTATTCTGTAAACTGTAGGAAAGTATCTGACATTGTCTCAGAAAATTCCATTTATAACAAGCAGTATGTACAGTACATAAACAGCAGTATGTACTGTACCGACCTGCCTGTGCTTCAAATCCAGTCAGTTCTACATGAAACTGTAATTCTCTTGTCATTTTCGAATAGACTGAACACATTCCTCCATATGATGTGGTGCCATCCATGAGGCCTGTGGTTCTGGTAGGACCGTCACTAAAGGGATATGAGGTGAGCGTTAGAGATCATACAGTATATACAGTACAAGCCTCTGAAACAATCTGAAATATGTTTTCTCACGTGTCATGTCTGTTGACAGGTGACAGACATGATGCAGAAAGCTCTGTTTGACTTTCTCAAACATCGCTTTGATGGACGGTGAGTTTTAAAAGACACATTTCTTGTAAGATATGATGAATGTTGCTATGTTCTTTACTCGCACGTATCTATTTACTGTGAAAAGTGATTGTGGAGAGGTCTGTCAACCTCAAACAAGGTTTTAAAATATCAAAAGTTGTACATAAAACTCCATGATTATAATCAATGCTTTCTCTAAGCTATTCCATCGTTTTGTGCAAGACACAGACCCATATTAAATAGTTTAATATATGGTGGAGGTGGGTTTTCATTGACCATTAATAGACATGCTTCACCCAAAAATGAAGCAGGAGTCATTATTCTTTTTAGCAAAAAGAGGATTCGTCCTGCCTTTTTCATGTAATGTCAGTTAATGACAACTGAGCTTTTAAAGAACATACAAAGGTTTCTCAGAACAATCCTATTAAACTTTGTATGCCAGCAAGCATTTTTTGTTTCAATTAAATGTAAAAGACATCTAAACATGGGCATTTTGGCTAAAAACAAGGCTAAAGTTGAGATGTCTGTATAATAGACGTCCAACACTAGTCCAAAAATAGACCGTTCATCTACTACACAGGATGACTATTTTTTGACATCTATTATATTTTTACTCTCAGCCCAAATTCAGCCTTTGTTTTGCCAAGTCATCGATATTAAACACAAAATTGCTTGGAGGAATATTAGTTTTCTGAGGGTAAACTATAGCTTGTTTGTTTTTTGGTTGGTCTCTGTGCACATTCGTGAGACTGATTGTGCCATAGTTCACTCTGACTCTGAAAAAAAAAAAAACAGGTTAGCTGATGTTTGACAGCACTGGTAATATCGGAATCACTTCTTAAATTTATTAAATGTGTACATTTTAAACCCTATTTAATAATTTCACTTTTGATTAAGTGACAATCAGGTATTAATTGCTTTTATTGACACCTCAAACTCACAGTCTCCTCATTTTTGTCTAGCTCTTCTTTCTGCTGAGGATAAGTGGTTTAACATTGGACACAGTCACAGTGTGTAGTTTATTTTAATTGGGCAAGAGTTTCTCTCACTAGCTGCACACATATGTGCGCAATAATTTAATGTGTGTTTTTGCTAAGTAAAAATACAAACAATATTTGCTAAATATTGTGTCTGACAAGAAAATGTGCTGATATTACGCTATTTTATTTGGATTTTAGCAAATACAAATATGACACTGTTGATTGTAACTATGGTGATGGCCAAAACCATTACGCGAGCACCACACTGGTGATTCCTCAGCTTATCGGATGCTGTCTGAATCGACCTGCCATTAGATAAAATAGATAAACTTCTGCTGCTGATCTGTGATTACGCATATTCAGTTTTATATTTTACAGTAGTTTTTAGCAAAACTTAAAGATTAAAAAAAGAAAAAAAATCTGAATGACAGTGGGGGCAGTGGTTGGCTAAACATTTAACTTTCATAATCACACCAAACCTAGTATAACAAAGCATTTGGTTTTATGTATTATAATTCTTATTCAAATTCCATTGGAACTGCAGCCTTCGTGCACAAAGGCATTCAGTGAAGGTTGAAACTTTTCAATAAACAATACATTAATTGTATGACATGCATACATGTTCAGAAAACTTGGATAGTAGATTCAATACTTTTTTTTATTATTTGGCTTGACTGACCCAACCAGGGCTCAAACCAGCGACCCTCTTGCTGTGAGGTGACAGTGCTACACACTGAGCCACTGTGTCGCCTTTGGATAATACAATATGCATCCTATCGGATAATTCTGTGATACTGAATAATTTTTTAAATGCTTAATGATGGTCTGTATTCAATGTTATTTTATGGATGAGTTTGAATAAGACAAAATATTTGAAAAAATCCTTCCACAAAGGCTAAAAAATGACCAAATCTTTATTTTGGTGAACTCACTCCACTTAAGTGTACTAATATTTTGTTATGCTGACAGGATTTCAATAACCCGAGTAACTGCTGACCTTTCACTGGCCAAGAGATCAGTTCTCAACAAGAGACCCATCATGGAGAGGTCAAACACACGGACCAGTTTGGGTGAGGACATCACACAATAAAGCTACACTGCTATACAGAAAACCCTCCAAAGCTCACAAAAAAATCCCCATTTGCTGATCTTGCACACTTTTTTGTGTTTTACATATTTTATTGCTTACGTAAATGATTATCAAGCTGGTTACCAAGATCTTTTTTCAAAACTGTGAGAACACTTTAGAGGCATCTGCCAGAAAAGGTGCAAAACATAAAAACCAGAACAAAAATCAGACAAATATGTAATAAACCCTTTCTTTCAGTATGTTCTCGGGCTTCATCTTTTGTGTCTGTTTGTGCCCTCAGCGGAAGTACAGAGTGAGATTGAGAGAATATTTGAGTTGGCCAAAACCCTTCAGCTGGTGATTCTGGATGCAGACACCATTAACCATCCAGCACAGCTAGCTAAAACCTCACTAGCACCTATTATTGTATATGTAAAGGTCACGTCTCCAAAGGTGAGGCAAGAAATATGCTGCTAGTCTTTTCAAGAATATCTCAAAATACTTAATTTCTAAAGCTAACCTACATTCTTTGATACTCATTCTTCCTCTGCTTTGACAGGTCCTACAGCGGTTGATAAAATCCAGGGGTAAATCACAGAGCAAACACCTCAATGTTCAGATGATGGCAGCAGATAAATTGACTCAGTGTCCCCCTGTAAGTACTTTAACACTTTTTAGTTATTCAAATCACACTAGATTGAACATTAGTATTAGCATGGCAGTGTTGTCAGAATTTCAGAAAGATAATTAGAGTCTTGCTATTTCAGAGTTTTTCTATAAAATGTCTATTTCAGCTAGGTTGAAGTTTTTAGGGCTGCCAAAGTATTACATTGTAAGATATGACTTGCTACTTGAAATCTCAAATACTAATATAATATACACCAATCCAAACTACTTTATTAGGTACACCTTTCTCGTACTGGGTTTGACTTCCCTTTTGAGCATTATATTATAGAAGGTTGAGTTTTTCAGAGATTTTGATCAATAATGACATTATTGTATCACACAGTTCCATGATGTGAATTTTCCGTTTCTATGTTTGATTGACATCTGTTGATTGTGGAGGAAATAGTGAACTCACTGTCATGCAGAGGAATGTGGACTCGAGTCAATGACCTGCAACTTGACTCGGACTTGAGTCCCAAATTTGAATAAAGAAGTCTTGGGATTTGACTTGGACTTGTCTGTCTCGACTCTGGACTTGACTAGAGACTTAAATGCAGAGGGTTGGGACTTCCCTCTGCTTGAAATAAGCAGTGACTTTACTAGCTTGATACTTGAAGGCAGGGGCACTGCTAAGGGGAGACAGTACTCGCTACAGCCTGCAGCTTTATGACATACTTGACCAGGTTCACTACGTAATGGACAATCGCCTACACCTCCCCCTACCCTAAACAAACTGTCACAGTAGTTTGGGTGTTATAATATCCACTACGTATTGGACCTGGTCCAGCTTGTCATCGTGATTACAGACTGTGGTGAGGACATCTTGGTTAAGGGAGGGAAAGTTAGGACTCTAAGGCCTCTAATGGCCTACGCACAAACTCCCCCTAAAAGTTTGAGCTTCAGCAGATCATCAGCTTTTTGACCACCTCTACATGCTCTGATTTAATTATTTAATTGGCTGAGAATTCAAAGACTTGGCACTTCCCTCTGCTTGAAATAAGCGGTGACTTGACTTGCTTGATACTTGAAAGCAGGGGTGCTGCTAAAGCCTAGTTCACAATACAGGGTTTTAAACATCAGCAGATCGCTGTGCTGTTCACACTACATGACTTGACTTTGTGTCTTTTGATCTCTTTGGTGTTCACACTACGCAACACTCCGTGAACGATCCACAAGAGGGGGGTCACACACTACATGATCTGACAACATCTCATTCCCCATCAGCTCATTCAAGCTACCAAACCACAGCCAATGAAATTTTGAGGGAGGAGTCGTCAGAAAAAAGCTGAACACTATTGGCTGCTTGTGTGCTGATTACATCACTGACAGCTTTTCAAGCTTTGGAGAAAGCATTTAAAAACATCGTCAAATCAGCTGATTTATCAGTGGATTAATCACTCATCTGCAAGGTTCCAGTGGATAGATACACAGAGAGTTTTTAATTTTTGTAATTTTATAACTCTTTGAAATAAAACAGAAGTAACCCTTCGTTCCCCGAGGAGGGGAACGGAAGTGCCATGAATGGGAGGATTCGGATCAGAAGCCGCTTATCTGGAGAGTATTGAACGGGCCAATGAATGAAATTAATTGGCAGCGTAAGCTTGCGCAGGTGTGCGACATCTGCAATTATCTCAGCATATAAGCACACCTGAAGCCAGCAGACGCCATCCTTTTAAGCTGAAGAGACTTTCAAACAGCTAAGGGACAGTCATTATGGCGACGGAATATGGCACTTCCGTTCCCCTCCTCGGGGAACGAAGGGTTACTTCTGTAACCTCGAACGTTCCCCTTCGGTTGGGGAACTTCAGTGCCATGAATGGGAGAATATGGAAAGCGCCATAATGACTGCACCTTACCAACACCCCCGATGAGGAGATAGTCAAGCAAGCGTGACGCACCCACATCATGGGGGGCGCGGTCCTCCAACGTGTCCCTGGCCCTAATTTATCCTACTTCAACAGAAGTTTTACGGATTTAGATATATTTTTTGGGAAGTCGTGAGCATCTAGATAATTCTAGGAATACGACAGTACGTTGGGAAGCGTGCAATCCCGATAGGGAGGACGCTGCGGAGGCCATCCGTTACCCAAGGGGGGGATAGATGGCAGAATTTACCTATGGACTAGCCCTAAAAAGGGGGAGTACGCATAGCAAAAGAGTGGTTAGCGGAGAGGGAAGACACGGGTCCACCCAGGGGGGGGACTTAACCGTGGCGGAATAAGCATATGGGATCGCCTAGTGGGGATCACGCATAGCAGGCACCTATACCCAAAACGCGGGCTGACCAGCGGGCAGACCTACAACGTAGTGGGCCAGCAAGTGACTCCTCCGCTGAGTCAGTGCTGGGGGCCACGGAGGAATCTGCAGGGCTCACCTGACGGGGAACTTTACTGACAGATAAAAAAGGCGCACGTACCTCCGTGTTAGGGAGAATGGCGCCGCAAGCGTGTTTCAACACCCTACCGAGTTGTCTCCTCAATCACCAAAGGGTTACCTAATACCCTTGAGGAAACCGGCTCCACTCGCAGATTGTAAAACCTTGCAAATGTGTTGGGTGTCGCCCAGCCCGCAGCTCTACAGATGTCTGTTAGAGAGGCGCCGCGTGCACGCGCCCAAGAGGATGCAACGCTCCGAGTGGAGTGTGCACGAACTCCCGGGGGACACGGCTGACCTCGACTCGAATAAGCGAGTGAAATGGCATCCACAATCCAGTGGGATAATCTTTGTTTTGATACGGCACTTCCCTGCTGCCGACCGCCATAACAGACAAAGAGCTGCTCAGATGATCTAAAATTCTGAGTACGGTCCACATAAATGCGCAGAGCGCGAACTGGACAAATTAAAGAAAGGGCTGGGTCTGCCTCCTCCGGGGGCAGCGCTTGCAGGTTCACTACCTGATCTCTAAAGGGGGTGGTAGGAACCTTGGGCACATAACCGGGGCGGGGTCTCAGGATGACGTGAGAGTAATCCGGCCCGAATTCCAGGCACGAGTCACTGACCGAAAATGCCTCCAGGTCCCCGACCCTCTTGATGGAGGCCAACGCAACCAGCAGAGCTGTCTTCAGGGACAGAAATCTTAGAGATACTGATTCGAGTGGCTCAAAGGGATCGGATCGCAGACTCGTGAGAACGAGGGCGAGATCCCAAGAGGGCAAGAGAGGGGGGCGAGATGGATTAATTCGCCTAGCACCCCTAAGGAACTGGATGACCAGGTTATGCTTTCCCACGGTGCCGCCAGCTACCGCGCTATGATAAGCGGAGATGGCGGCCACGTAAACCTTGAGAGTGGAGGGCGACAGCCTGCTGTCCAACTTCTCTTGAAGGAAAGAGAGCACAACACTAATCTGGCAATTTCGGGGGTCTTCTCTGCGAGAGACGCACCATTCAGTGAATAGACTCCACTTCAGGGCGTAGGCGCGCCTCGTGGAGGGGGCTCTAGCCTGAGTGATGGTATTAACCACCGCAGCCGGTAGGTTACCTAAGTCTTCCTCGCGTCTAGGGACCACACGTGGAGGTTCCAAAGATCGGGGCGAGGGTGCCAGATGGTGCCCTGTCCCTGAGAGAGTAGGTCCTCTCTCAAAGGGATCCGCCAGGGGAGGGCCGTCGCGAGGAGTGAGAGCTCTGATATCCAGGTCCGGTTGGGCCAAAGGGGCGCAACTAGCAGAACCTGTTCCTCGTCCTCCCTGACCTTGCACAGAAACTGCGCGAGCAGGCTCACTGGGGGAAACGCATACTTGCGCATGCCCCGAGGCCAGCTGTGGGCCAGTGCATCCGTGCCGAGAGAGCCCTCGGTCAGGGAAAAAAACAACTGGCAGTGAGCGTTCTCGGGGGAAGCAAACAGATCGATCTGGGCCTCCCCGAATCGCGCCCATATCAGCTGAACAGACTCGGGGTGGAGTCTCCATTCTCCAGGGCGTAACAGCTGTCGTGAGAGCGCATCGGCTGCACGATTGAGCGTGCCTGGGACGTGAATGGCGCGCAGCGATTCCAGCCGCGGGTGACTCCAGAGGAGCAGACGGCGGGCGAGCTGAGACATGCGGCGAGAGCGCATACCCCCCATGCGGTTGATATACGCCGCCGCCGCCATACTGTCCGTCCTGACCAGCACGTGTTGCCGCTCCAGCACCGGTAAAAAGCGGTGGAGAGCGAGGAACACTGCCAACAGCTCTAGGCGATTGATATGCCAATGCAGCTGGGCACCCTTCCAAAGGCCCGCAGCCGCATGCCCGCGACACACGGCCCCCCAACCCGTGTTGGAAGCGTCTGTTGAAACAACAACATGGCTGGACGCCTGTCCTAGAGGCACACCGGCCTGTAGGAACGAGGGGTCGTTCCAAGGGCTGAGGGCGCGGCGACACAGCGCAGTAACCGAGACCCGGTGTGTGCCCGCGTGCCATGCGCGTCTGGGGACCCGATCGTGAAGCCAGTGCTGAAGTGGTCTCATATGGAGCAACCCGAGCGGCGTGACGGCGGCTGCGGATGCCATATGCCCCAGGAGCCTCTGAAAGAACTTCAGTGGGACCACTAGTTTGCTGTCGAGCTCCCTCAGACAGTTCAGCAACAGGCGAGCACGTTCCTCGGAGAGGTGCGCTACCATGGTGATCGAGTCCAGCTCCATCCCGAGAAAAGAAATCCTCTGCACGGGGGCGAGTTTGCTCTTTTCTCGGTTGACCTGAAGCCCCAGTAGGCGGAGATGCCGAAGCACCTTGTCCCTGTGCATAATCAATTGCTCCCGCGAGTGGGCTAAAATCAGCCAGTCGTCGAGATAATTGAGTATGCGAATGCCCGCGAGCCGAAGGGGCGCTAGGGCACCCTCCGCGAGTTTGGTGAAGACCCGCGGAGACAGAGAGAGCCCGAAGGGGAGGACCTTGTACTGCCACGCTCGACCCTCGAACGCAAACCGCAGAAATTGGCGGTGGCGTGGAAGAATGGAGACATGGAAATACGCGTCCTTCAGGTCTATGGCTGCAAACCAATCCCGAGGACGAACGCATTGGAGAATGCGCCTCTGCGTGAGCATTCTGAACGGCAGCTTGTGCAGACAGCGGTTCAAAACGCGCAGATCTAGGATTGGCCGTGACCCACCGCTCTTTTTGGGTACGATGAAGTATGGGGTGTAAAACCCACTCTCCATCTCGGCTGGAGGAACCGGCTCGATTGCACCCTTCGCCAGGAGGGCAGCAATCTCCTCTCGCAAGACAGGGGCGGACAGGGGGTTGACCCTGGAGAAATACACACCCGTAAACTTGGGGGGCCGTTTCGCAAACTGAATCGCGTAACCGAGTCTGATTGTGCGTATGAGCCACCGCGAGGGGCTGGCCCGCGCTAACCAGGCAGGCAGAGCCCTCGCTAATGGAGTCATCGCTACAATCGCTGACGTACCAGCGGTGGGGCAGCGCGGAGTGGGTGTGCTGATCCGGGAAGCACGAGGGTCCCGCGGAAGAGCTGGAGGAGAGCGATTCGCTCTGGCTCCGCACCCTGACTCCGGAGAGGGGGCTGGAGGGCTGAGGAAAGGGAGACCGTCCCCCCAGCGCTCGTGAGCCACTGGCGAAGCACGTAGAGTCTGCGAGCCGGAAGGCAGCGCGTCCCGGACTGGCAGAACTCGTGCAGTCACATCCGGGGAAGGGAAAAAGTGCTCTTTTACTGATGTTTTGGTGGCACTGAAAAGTACCGTTGTTATCGGGGCCCCGCCCTCCAGCGGGGAAAGAGCAAGTTTCCTCTTCTCCGGATGGCCTGTCTCAGGGACGCTTCGCGGTCCGTTTACCGGACTTAACGGCGCCCTGGGCAGGAGGGGCTGCCTGCTTTCGAGGTGAACGCCGCGCCCGCTTGGCCGGAGGCGCAGGCGGGGGCGGGGCAGCACTCGTTGGCGGGCGCCCTCGGCGAGGAACAGCGGAGGTGGATGGCTCGGCGGGCGGAGCGGGCTTACGGCCACGCCGATAGATGACATTGCCCATCGCATCCGACTGCTCTTTCACCGCCTTGAATTCCTGGGTGAATTCACCGACGGTGTCGCCGAACAGGCCAGCCTGGGATATGGGCGAGTCAAGAAAGCGAACTTTGTCAATGTCGCGCATATCGGCCAGGTTTAGCCAGAGGTGGCGTTCCTGAACCACAAGTGTGGACATCGTCCTCCCCAGCGCACACGCGGCGGACTTAGTAGTCCGAAGAGCATAGTCGGTCGCGGTGCGCAGCTCATGTAATAAGCTTGGGTTGGACCCGCCCTCGTGCAGCTCGGCCAGCGCCTGCGCTTGGTAGCGCTGGTAGGTGGCCATCGCGTGCAAAGCAGAAGCAGCCTGGCCCGCAGCCTTATAAGCTCTGGCTCCGAGGGAGGCAGACAACCTACAGGCTTTGGACGGGAGGCGGGGCAAACCCCGCCACGTAGAGGCGCCGCGCGGACAAAGATTGACCGCGATAGCGCGCTCCACTGACGGGATCGCCTCATACCCCCTGGCAGCTCCGCCGTCAAGGGCGGTGAGGGCGGAGGCACTCGCAGCACGGGCAGAGAAAGGTGCCCTCCAGGACTGCGTGAGCCTACTGTGCACTTCCGGGAAGAAGGGGACGAGAGGCTTCGAAGGCTTCGCCTTCTGGTCCTCTACGTAGCACCCATCTAGTCGGTCCGGCCGCGGAGCTGGGGGATAAACCATCTCCAACCCCACGGCCGAAGCAGCCCGGGAAAGCACGGCTAACATGTCCGCTTCAGGATCCGATTTGACAGCGCTCACCTGCCCGGAGGGGGCGAGCGGGTCCGGATCTTCGTCGGACAGTGAAAGCCCACCCTCCGATGCCGCGGAGGACATCTGATCTCCGGTGTCAGCGAGTGTGAGAGCTACCATCTGGTTAGACGGATCACTCTCACCACCCGAAGCTTGGATGGAGCGCCGTGAGGAGCGAGAGGTCCGCGAGCCCGTGGGCGGCGGATTAGCTCCCGCTGAAACCCTCAGATCTGCCCGAGCGCCCGCTGCTTTTTTAGAGCAGGAGGCAACTGGGGTGGCTCGCTCTCTTGCGAAAGTTAGCCGCGATCTTAGCTGTGCAACGGTCATGGCATCGCAATGACGACATGAACCGCCCGCGAGCACCGCATTAACATGCTGGACCCCCAAACATGCAATGCAGTGATCGTGTCCATCATCCGGAGACAGGAAACCCCCGCATCCAGAAACGCACAGTCGGAGCGCCATCCTGAAAAGGACGTGCTGCACGACTGTGTTGCTCTTTTAGGAAAGTTGCAACTATACGCACCGCTCTGGAGGACCGGACCCAAAGAACCGCAGGCAAGGGAGTAACCCAGCTCGACCGTCTGCCACCGCGAAGACCCACTCTGGACCGGGAGACACACTCGTTCGCTCTGAAGTGCTGATCAGCAAGAGGAACCCTCATCGACTCACTCAGAAAGGATCTGAAGCGAAAAGGATGGCGTCTGCTGGCTTCAGGTGTGCTTATATGCTGAGATAATTGCAGATGTCGCACACCTGCGCAAGCTTACGCTGCCAATTAATTTCATTCATTGGCCCGTTCAATACTCTCCAGATAAGCGGCTTCTGATCCGAATCCTCCCATTCATGGCACTGAAGTTCCCCAACCGAAGGGGAACTAACATATTCATAACACCCTGCCGTTTTCTAACTATCAGTGTATTTCTTTCTGACATTGTTATTTTTTTTATTACAAAACAGTAAAGAACTGAGCATTTCTGCCTTAAATTACCATATTGGTCAAAATGACTGCATGCATGTCTGATACTTTTCACTGTGACTTTAAATATGTGTGCATTTTGGCAAAAACATCAATTTACTTCAGATATCTTTCAAAACAGCATATTCTGTGCTGTTAAATAGCTCCTGTTTGAAAGTGAAAATGAAAGCCAAGACCTTTTAGTGTTTTAGTATCTTAACTACATATTTATAGGCTGTATTACCAAAAAAATATTATATTTTTAGGGTAATGGTGTCATTAAATATGATGCCAGACATTCAAAGCTTAATTTTAATATCTCAATAATAGCTTTGAATGTAAATATGATGTAACAGTATGGCGTTTTATATGAGAACGGTCAGAATGAGCAGTATGGTAATTCTAATAGTTACAGAATTCTAGTTCCACTGTTAATATATCCTACTCTCATGTCTGTGCTAACGCAGAATGAAGCGAGTGCACTGATGCCCATTCTGACCAATCACAGATGTTTCTGCTGAGCTCCTGAACACACAGGCATTCAGCTCATGCTGATATGCTCTCTCATTGGCTGTAGCTCGTCACTACATCTGACCACACGTGGGGTTGAGTCGGCCGACTGCTCTGGAATATTTAGCATGCTGAATTTTGGATTTCCGTCTGCGAGGTGTCGGCGACGCGTCAGCGAGCCTCGTTGATGCGTTGCTCAGTAGTTCACACATAAAGAGCGGCGAGCGCCGAGCACCCGCAGATTTCTTCCCGATCACAGCCCGATCTGTTGGCGAGCTCGTTAACTTCCAAATCGGGCTCAAATCAGGCTTAAAATCCTCTAGTGTGAACTAGGCATAAGGGGAGACAGGACTCGCTGTAGCTTGATGACGTACTTGACCAGATTCATTACTTAATGAACGATCGCCTATAACTACCGCTACCCTAAACCAAACAGTCACAGTAGTATGGGCACTACCTTAGTGGGCGGTACAATGTCCACTATGTATTGGACCTGGTCCAGTACGTCATACTGATTAAAGACTAAGTTCGGACTCTAGCACTTCTAAGGGCCCAAGCACAACTTCATCCTAAAAATTTGAGCTTCAGCAAATCATCAACTTTTTGACTACCTCTTCATACTCTGATTTAATTATGTAATTGCCTGATTAGATCTTTGGGTTAATGAACAGTCGAACAAGTTTACCTAGTAAAGTGGCTGGTGAGTGTGTATTATCATTCAGCTATTCTTCCTCTATATAAACAGACCAAACTTTGAAAGCATTATGCATGGTTCACAACGCACATTTTTAAACCTCCTGATGCGCATCGATCTCCAATGTGAACACAGCAGCGCTACCCCAGATAGTCATACAAAAACAATGTGATTTGATTTCTGCATTAGTAAAGTGAAGATTGCAGGAATAGAATCTACATTTTGCAAGGGAATCTTATTTAGAGCACGTCTGTCTGAATACATGTCTTTTTATTCTAAGTCTCATATTGTATGTCAACTGTTGTAATTTTAAATGCTCGTTCTCCATTCTCTCTTAATTGAGTGCTGTTCAAATGTTTGCTTAGTTCTAAACGGATTCTGTTTGCACTGGCCTTGCTACAATTCTAGTGATGTAGACGCTTGCTTTTCCAAATGACATTCTGACAAAAGTCATGTTGCATGTTGTTCCATAGAGCCATTATCCTACCTGTCGCTCAACATCATCTCCCATCACCTGACCATCATCACAAGATATTTTATATAATATCTTCTAATTCCATCCCCCGCATGTCATCTTCTCCTCCACCCTGTCTCCCCATCAGGAGATGTTTGATGTCATTTTGGATGAGAACCAGTTGGAGGACGCCTGTGAGCATCTGGCTGAATATCTGGAGGTTTACTGGCGTGCCACTCATCTGCCAGGCACCACCCCTCTCAACCCGCTATTGGAGCAAAATTTGATGACCCCACCCTCTGCAATCTCCAGTCTACAGGTAAGGTGGAAATACTGAGTGTGTTGTTTTATTTATACAGTTGATTAAGATTGAGAAGATAGGTTTGTTCTTTGGCTCTCAGGATGTTCCAGCAGGCACTGCGCATCATCATGGCATCAGATTGATGTTGTACCCCAAGTCATGGGACATTGCATTTCGTTTGTAAATGAACGTTAGAACCCGACGTCCGGCCGACATCAATGTCCAACGTCAGACAGACATTACATTTTGGTTACTTTCCAAGGCAACCTAAAAACAACAAAATATCAATGTCTAATCATGTTGACGTTATGTCATTTTGGTTGCCTTACCTAAAGTCAAATGTCAGTACATGACGTCAATATGACGTTGGTTTAAGATGTTGACTTGACGTTGGATGTTGGTCACTTTCCAACACAATCTAAACTCAACAAAATATCACTTTATGTCATTATTGACCATCTAAATAACATTGTCCTTTAGTTGCTGGTGTCCTAAATCTAACCTAATATTAATGTCTTATGACGTTGTGTCCGCTGGACAATAAAGTCATTTGTGAAACTAGTGTAATGATTTGATATCGGAATCTAAAATGTATTTATATTCTGGAATTAGATGCTTAATGCTGCATTCACATCGGAGGCGAAAAAGCGTCAAGTGCGAGTGATTTACATGTTAAGTCAATGAAAAGATGCGAATAGGCATCCTGCGCCTTAACAACATTGATTTCGCGATTGACACGTTTGACGTGCATTTCTCACAAATCCCTCGAGTTTGAAAAAACTGAACTTCAGCGGACATTTGTGCCGCATTAACCAATCAGGAGCTTTCTCTTGTAGGGGCGTGCAAGAGATCCTCCTGCCGAAACCTGACAACAGTTGATCAAACTGTGCTTGCCTCAGTCTGAAGCACGGCTGAAAGCTTCCATCATCCAGGTTAAGTTTCTGGAGGAGTTGATGAACTCACAGAGCTGCTGCACATCTGAGAGGATCTAGTGAACTCAGACACGGCTCCAAATGAATTGACGCTGTTTTTCAGCCTTCATAAAGCACATAAACACGGTTATTCTCTCAATAAAATCCATGTCAGCCATTTAGCAACAAAGCTAGAGTCAGCCGGCATACAGAAGCCCTGCCCATGACTTGAATCTGTGAATTGTGAATTGATTTTGATGCTCGAATGAATTGAGTAAACTCAAAATGTTCATGCATCTATTTATGCGTCTGGTGTGAAAACAGCATAAGGTTAGGAAGTGGATACTACTTAGATTCTAAAATGAAAATGAAAAATGTCTGTGTGGCCTATCCTGTAAATCTAAAAGTGCCTTGAATTCCATTTGTTGCTCTCAGGTTTCAGTAAAACATAGTTAACATTGTTATTTTATTATTCCACACATGATCTTACATTTCTTTATTTAGTTGCAGCCAACAAGTTTTTTTTTTTAATACATGTTTAAGTGTATTAAACATTAATCCAAAAATCTGAATAATCTGCATTTAATATTTAAAACCAACAAATGAAAATTTTGGAAGCCAGCAAGCTATAAGAGTTGCAAAAAAATATATAAATCCGAATAAACTACTACATTCAAACAATACCCAACCCTAGTAATTACAGTACATCTAAGGCAACTTATTGGTATATTAAATTCAAATTTCCACCAAAATACATGACCATACTTAATTTAAAAATGCGGATGACTACATTCTTTAAAAGGAACAAGGTTTGCAGTCTCAAATGCACTGACCTAGTTAGACAAGAAGAAACCAGAAGTAGTACAGTATGTGTCTTCATCGATCAGCCAGAAAAGTAGTCCAGAGACTGTGCTAAACATTATCTTCTAGAATATGGATGGCATTTCAGCTTTGAGAAATAATCTGGTACAATATGTGTGTGATGTCTGCATTCCCCTAATTCAAAACCCTTTCTAATGTATTTAAATTACACCGCTGACCGTAAAACCATAGATGTATGGGATTTTATGAAATCATTTTTAGTTTTATAGAAGAAAGGCACTATTTAACTTAAATTTGCAAATATTCATATTTTGGGGACTTTTGGAGCTCCATGCACAGTATATTAAAATATCTCTGTTCTTTTTGTAATAATTTCATGGAAACACTAATTAGTCAGACCTACTTTATATTGAACAACGTTAATGTCAAACAACAAAACTAAAAATGGAAGAAAAAATAATAATAATAATAAATTCCCAACCTGAAAGTGGCCATACAGTAAATGTTTGTCTGTTCTGTCCTTCCCTGTGCTCCATATTGTCAATCTCTGTCCTTTTAGTTATCTTGGGTCCACAGATGCTTGTAATGCTGACATGTTGTAAGTCTCAATCTGTCTGTTCTGTGTTTCATTCATGCCTGACATCTTTGCAGTTCTCTGAAACACAGGAATTAATTGAATGAGCACTTGCAAACCTGCGGTGAGTAGGTTGGGATGATTAATCTGCCTTTCGCATTCAGACTGTAAATCAAGACCCCATCCTGATACTTCTTTACATCCTCCAATTCCTTTAACCCCTCCAAATGGAAATAACATGTGGTATCTCTATTGGAAAAGCACTTTAAAAATCATATATGAAAATATATGATTTTGTTATGCTGTTGTTGTTGAGCCCATTCATAGTTTTTATGTTTCAATGTCATCTGCGAACCTGAAATTATACAAGAAAAATGATATAAGATTAATTTGATTGTTCAAGAAAACTCTTTCTTTGAGGATTTAGGCTGTAGGTCTTCCAGGGTTATATTTCACCCAAAAAATTCTTTGGATTTTCACAAAATTCACAAAAGATTTCCTCATCCTTAAGCAGTTTTACACTTTTAGGTACACAAAACAAGATATTCTAAAGAATGTTGAAAACCAGCAACCATTGACATCTATAGTAGGAACAAAGAACACTATAAAAGTCAATGGCTGCTGCTTACCAACATGTCTTCCTTTTGGGTTAAACACAAAAAAAACTCAAACAAGTTTGAAACAAGTGGAATATGAGTAAATTATAGAATATTCATTTTTGGGTGAACTATTCTTTTCAGGTGTAGCCATCATTTGAAAAGAGGTAGGTCAAATATATTTAATGTCTACGCAACAAATCTAATGTTGTTGGTAGTGTTTCTAATGGCCCGTTTTCACTGAGTGGTACAGTATGGTATGGGTCGGTACGTGTCATCTTTATCAGGCTTGCGTTTCCACTGCTGAAAGGGTATCAATGGTACTCTTTTGATAGGCATGGTGTACGACAGAAACTTTTAGTCGACATCATATTCGCTCGATAAAATGTCAAAGTAAAGCTGTACGGGTCATTCACATATAGGGATGCAACGATTATTGATATTAAATTTGGTTGTACGATTACAATCTAAGAAATAATCATGGTTTCACGTTTATCACGATTATTTGCATTCATTTATTTCTACTAGTTTAAAATTAAAATTATTTTATATTTGGTTTTGTAGTTTGGGCCTAAATACATATTTGTTACCGTTTTAAAAGCTAATTTGATTGATTATATAAAAATCTGTGGATATTAATGATGCATTTATTGGTTGCGTGTGCGTCCCTCCATTGGAAATAAGAACTTGATCGAGCTTGCCTTAATTAGTTGCCTCAGTCATAGTTAGTCCAATGTGCGTGGTTATTATTGTTATCGATGTTATCGTATTATTGTTATTGTTATTATGGTTATATTGGTCTCGGTGTACAAACTAGCGCACAGTTGGCATAACTTTGTTTAGTTGCTGAATTTTTGTTTCGTGCAAATGTGCGTGTTGAGAAGCAAAAGGGTACCAAAAGGCGGAGCTAGAGGTGCAGCTGAACGCTGTTTGTTTACAGAGATACATCATTCGCTCGCGCACCAAGCCAGAATGAAACCAAAGAAACTGCCATGTTTTAAACACACAGCCGAGACATTACACCGTAATATTATATACATATACATATAATAATTGAGCCATGGTCGACCCGATCTCAAACAAACCTTGTTGTCATCTTGATGAACAGCCAAAAAGAACAATCTTTTTCAAATCTGCTGTGCCCTGTTGTTGTTTTACGAGCCGGTCTAAAAGTGTGAGCGGTTTCACTTTGTCCCGAAAGCTCGCGATCTCATCTATATTTGAAATAACAAACTTTTTGAACTCATATTAAATAGCTGCTCATGATCATTGAAGTGCTTTGATATCTAATCCTGTCAGAAGGGAACAAACAAGAGAGTGAAATGCGAAAAAAACAAAAGAGATGCTGGAAAAAACAGCAGCAAATTATGCGTCTGCAACCTAAAACATGAACAAACTGCCATGTTTAACTATTATCATCGCCTTTTGGACGATGTTACTTTCTTACAAGAGGTTACATGTGCTGCTGAAGATTAAAGACACAGATGAGAGGTTTGCACTAACTGTGGGCTATATTTTGTGTTGTTTTTTAACCTAAATAAGGACTTAATGTATGCTGTGTGTAGTTTTTCTGTAAGTGGTAACTTATTAGAGACTGTGATGGTCTGTATGTTTTCATACATTCATTTACTTTTTGGCTTAGACCCTTAATTAATCTGAGGTCGCCCCAGCTAAAGGAATGCCAACTTATACAGCATATGTTTTTACACAGCGGATGCACTTTCAGTCGCAACCCATCACAGGGAAACATCCACACTCATTCACACACATACATACACTGTGGGAAATTTTGACCCAATTCACCTATACCGCATGTGTTTGGACTGTGTCGGAAACCCACGCGAACACGGGGAGAACATGCAAACTCCACACAGAAATGCCAACTGACCCGGCCGAGGCTTGAACTAGCGACCTTCTTACTGTGAGGCGACAGCATTACCTACTGTGCCACCACATCACCCATGTTCATATATGTTGCATTTATTTATTTTATAGAATTGTAGATGTTACAGTAGGATATTTCACACTGTCATTGACATGCAGTTATTATCAAATTATGTTAATAAAAAAGTTAGTAATATTTACACAGAAGTATTTATGTGTTTAAAGCATCAC